CTGCTTCCTGCCCAGGATCCAGAGTGTGTCATGGTCCCTTAACAGGCCTCCCATTGCTGCTGTCTCCATCGCCACACTCTGCCATAGTGCCACTTTCAGGTCTCCTCACGAACACTGCTGGTGGGTTCCATTTTGTCACATAGGGCTGCTGTATGGCCTCCCATTGCTGCTGCCCAGGCCCCGTAATCTGCCATGGGCCCCCGTACCGACTACCTCATGCTTGCTGCCCAGGCCCGAAATCTGTCATTACACGGCCCCTGTACCCACCGCCTCCTCATGCTGCTGCAGGGTGCTCCCAGAGTGTGTCATGGTCCCTGTAACGGCCTCCCATTGCTGCTGTCTCCATCGCCACAACTCTGCCCATGTGCCACTTTCCAGGTCTCCTTCCTCACACTGCTGGTGGGTTTCCATTTTGTCATAGGGTGCTGCAGTATGGCCTCCCATTGCTGCTGCCAAAGGCCCGTAATCTGCCCAAGGGCCCCCCGTACCGACTCCTCATGCTGCTGCCAGGCCCGTAATCTGTCATGGGCCCCTCTGTACCCGCCTCCTCATGCTGCTGCCCAGGTCCCAGGAGGTGTTCATGGGTCTCTGTACGGCCTCCCATTGTGCTGTCTCCTTCGCTGACAAAAAAAAATCTGCCATGTGCCACTTTTGACATTTACAGGTCTCTGTAACACTGCTGGTGGGTGGTCCATTTTGTCATAGGGATGCTGTATTAGGAAAGATTCCCATTGCTGCTGCCAGGCCCGTAAGATCAGCCATGGGCCCCCGATCATACTCCCTCATGCTTGCTTGCCAGGCCCGTATATTCTGATCAATGGGCCCCCTGTACCCGCCTCCACTCATGCTGCTGCCAGGTCCAGATTGTGTCATGGGTCCCCCGTTAAAAAAATACGGCCTCCATTGCCTGCTGTAACTCCATCGCCACACTCCTGCATGTGGCCACTTTCCAGGTCTCCTTCAACACACTGCTGGTGGGTTCCATTTTGTCATGCTAGGGTGCTGTATGGCCTCCCATTGCTGCTGCCAGGCCCGTAATCTGCATGGCCCCCGTACCGACTCCTTCCTCATGCTGCTGCGGCATTGCCCGTAATCCTGTCATGGGCCCCTGTTACCCGTACCGCCTCCTCATGCTGCTGCCAGGTCCAGAGTGTGTCATGGGTCCCTAGTAATCGGCCTGCCCATTGCTGCTGTCTCCAACGCGCCACACTCTGCCATGGTGCCACTTTCAGGTCTCCACACAAGCTGCTGGTGGGTTCCATTTTGTTCATAGGGTGCGTATGGCCTCCCATTGCTGCTCAGCCAAAGGCCCGAAATCTGCCATGGGCCCCCCGTAACCGACTCCTCATGCTGCTGCCAGGGCCCTGTAATCTGTCATGGAGCCCCTGTATACCCGCCTCCTCATCGCGCTGGCGCCATGATCCAGAAAGGGGGGGGAGGGGGTTTTTTTGTGTGTTCTCCGATGTGTTCCCCTGTACGGCCTCCCATTGCTGCTGTCTCCAACGCCACACACTCTGCGCATGTGCCACTTTCAGGACTCCTCATACTGGGGTGGGTTTCCATTTTGTCAGCAGGGTGCTGTATGGGGCCTCCCATTGCTGCGCCCGCCCCCCGCCCCCTGCCTGCCACACTCCCCCCCCCCCCGTGCCCCTGCCCCAAATGAGTGAAGTGTGCGGTGATTTTAAGATCGAACTGGCACTCATCTGCATGTCCTATACTGACTGACAGTAGTATTTCTCTTCCCAGCAGACTCCAATGAGGGTGGACTGATACTGATGTGGTGGTGGAACAACCCGAGAAACGAATGTGCCATATTTCTCGAACCCATCAGAACCAGGATAGGAGAAACTTAAGGAAATTGGAACCCTCCCTCTCTAAATTCGGAACATCAAACTGGAAAATCAGAATTTGGAAATTTGGCATTTTGGAATATCCCATAAATTTGGAAATTTGGGAAATCGGAATTTGAAACAAATTTTGGCAATTTAGAACCCTATAGAAGTAGTTTTGCAATTCAAAACCCAGGCAATTGGAATTTGGAATATGACATCTGGGAAAGCTAGCGGAATAATAACTTTGTGTAGTATCATAATTGTAATTTAGAACTCTCGGAATGAATCAGCCTACGGCAACTAGAGCAAGCTGTGACTATATTAGAGCATCCGAAAATTGGAACTCATACAATTGGAAACTTAGAATTAGGAACATCAGAGTTTGAAATCTCAGTATTTTAGAACAAAAAATTCAGAACTGGGAATTTGTACTATTCAAAAAAATTTGGAAATTTTTAACCCCAAACTTGGGAAAACAAAATTTGAAATTTGAAATTTGGAACTCCAAAATAGGTGTGTGGGAGTACAAAGATATTAAAAACATGTTTGGGCAAACCCCATTTTTGCATGTAGGAGCCCCACCTTTTCATACATTTTTGGTTTTTTTTTTGTGGTGTGGCGGGTTTGGAGTGGGCTTTTAAAAAAAAAAATTTTTTTTTTTTTTTTTTTTATTTGTCAAATTTAAAAAAAAAAAAAAAAAAAAAAACCCTTTTTTTTTACATAAAAAAAATTGGGAAATTTTTAAAAAAACAAAAAATGGGGGAAAACCCAAAACCTCCAATGTGAAAGGATATGTTTTTGGAAAAGGTTCCTTCCCCCAAATTGGGCCCCCTGTTAAAAAATCCAAACCAAAAAAAATTAAAAACCCCTTAAAAATTCATATTATCCTTTCTAACCCCCCCCCCCCCCTAATTATGTAAGCTCGAAAGATGGAGGGCCCTCTAACCCCCTTTGTGGTTTCGTTTGCTGTTTACCCGTTCTTTTTTCATTGTAAAATTTCCCCCCCCCCCTTGGGACAAAGCGCTGAGCAAAAAAACCCCTTTGGGGGCTATAAAACCATAAATAAATAAAAAAAATAAAGTCAGGGTTTCCCTTTTAACATTTACCCGGGGGGGAGGGCATTTAATGGAAGTCGCTGGAAGTCATTCTGCCCCCAAACCCCAATCATAAAACCGTCATGGGGCCCCCTTGGGGCCCCCCAGGTGGGGGGAGAGAAACCCTTTGAAAAAATAGGGGATGCTTGGGGGGGGGATCATGTTGGGGGAAGGGGGATAAAAGGGGGCCCTTTAAACCACCAGTTTTCACTTCCCCCTTAAAAAACCAACAGGTTTTGGGGTTAAAATTTTGGGGCTAAAAAATTTTTTTTTCCCCGAAAAGGTCTACATCCCTTTAATTTGGGACCATTATTTCCCCGCGCTGGGGGCTGGCCCTTCCCGGCCCATTTTTCATTGGCTTTTCTCGGAAAAAAATAACCCGTGGGAGGGTTTATTCCCCACACAGGTATTTTGTTTTTTAAATTTTTAAAATGAGCTGGGACTTTTGCAGCCCCCAATCTAAAAAAGTTTGGGGGGGGCCAAAATTTTCACCCAAAAACCCCTAAATTGGGGGGGGTTTTTCCCCCTTTTACAAAAAGGGTTTTTTGGGGTCATTGGGGGCCCCCTTTTCCCTTCCCCAAAAATTAAAAAAGGGCCCTTTTAAAAAAGGGCCCGGGGGAAAAAAAAACAAAAAAAAAAAAAAAACCAAAAAAAAATTACCTTTTTTCCCCCAAGCTCCCCCCCCAATTAACCCCGTTTTTTCCCCCCCAATTTAATTTTTTTTTATAATTAAAAAACCCCCGGGATTTTTAACAGGTTTCAGCTTTTAAAAGGGGTTAAAACCCCCGGCCTTTGCACAAATGTTTTGCCCCGATCCCCCCGTATTTCGTCTTAGGAAAAAAAGGGGGGCCTCCCGTTATAATTTTAAAAGGTTGGCACTGAAAAAGGGTTCTTTTAAGGGCCCAAAAAGAAATTTTAAATCGGTTAAAAATTTAAGTCTTTTTTGAAAAACAAAAGGGGAAAAATTTTTTTCCAAATTTTTCTTGCAACCTTCCTTTTTAAGGAAAAATTTGGGGGTATCCTTTAAAAACCCTTTCCTGGTTTGAAAGGTTTCCAAAAAATTTTTCCCCCCCCTTGTTTTTGACACTCAACGTTTTAAAAAAAAATTCCCGTTTTTGTAAAGAATTAAAGGTACCCTTTAAAACATTTTCCGAATGTTCCCCTTTACCTTTAGAAAAAAAGAAATGATTATTTAATGCCTTTAAGAAAAAAATTTTTAGGAGGTTTTTTTTAAACAAAAAGGCCTTGCTTCCTCCTTTTTTTCCCCTAAAAATAAAACGTTTGGGTCCCCAAAAGGGCCAAAATTCCCCAATTTTTTTTCCAAAAAAATAAGAACACTTTTTTTTCCCACCTTTTGTGTTTGCCACATGGGCCCTTAAAATTTTATTTAAATGCCCCTTTTTGCTCTTTCTTATTCCTTTTGGGGGGAAGGAATGGGGGGCGCCTGGGAAATTTCTTCCCCGGGGGCCCTTAAATTTTTTTGGTTTTGGGTTTTTATTGTTTTTTTTTTGTTTAAATTTTTTTTTACCCCCAATTTAAAAACTTTCAGGTACCCCACATTAAAGGGGTTTTTTTAAAAATTTTCCTGGTTAAAAACCAAAAAAGGGATTCGAAATCAAAACTCTTCTTTTGGCCACGCCAGGGGGGCTTTTCAAAAAAATTTTCCCCTTTGCCCCCAATTTCGAAAAAGGGGTTTTCCAAGGTGTTCTTGTTAAAAGTTTAACAACCCTTTTTTTGGTTCAACTTTTAAAAAAAAAGCCCAAAAAATTGCCCTTCCTTTTGAAGGAAATAAACCTTTTTTCCCCCTTTGTTTTTTCCCTGGCCATTTTTCCTTACCAAAAAATTTGAACCAACCAAAGTTATTAATCTTACCACATGTGGTGGACCACTGGATTTGGTTTATGGAATGATTATATATTGATTATTTTTCACAGAGTTTGTTGATATTTTTCAATTTATTTCAGAGGTTATTAGTATTACATATATCAGGAGTAGCTCCTACCTTTAATTATTGTTTTTTTTTTTAATTTACAAACTGGTTAAAACTCTAAAAATGTGCATGAAACTGATCAGATCAAGACTCTGATAAATGCTTCTTAGAGACCATCAGCTTATGATACATTTTAACAAGAGCAATTTTGACGTCTTTGTTCCTTAGACTATAGATAAAAGGGTTTAACAGAGGTGCAATAGCTGTATACATGACTGCCACCAACTTGTCCTGGACAATGGCATTGCTGGATTCAGGCTTTAAGTACATAAACATAACAGAACCGTAAAATATAGTGACCACCGTGAAGTGTGAAGTGCAAGTGGAAAATGCCTTCTTTCTACCGGATGTGGAATGAATTCTTACAATGGCCAATATAATATATACATAAGATACCAAAATTAATAAAAATGAACCAACCACAACACAGATACTTGTCACAAATATAACAATCTGATTAATCATGGTGTCAGCACATGCTAAGGTTAATATTGGTGGAATATCACAAAAAATGTGATTGATTTTATTAGAACCACAAAAAGGCAAAGTGAATGTAAGAACTGTATGCAGCAGAGAATTTGCTGAGCCAACCAAATATGATCCGATGAGAAGTTGAATACAAACCACTCTTTTCATTATGATGCTGTATAAAAGAGGGTGACATATTGCACTATACCGATCGTATGCCATTGCCGCTAATAAATAACACTCTGTCCCACCACAGACTCCAAAGCTATAGACCTGTACAGCACAGCCATAGAAAGATATGATCTTATGTTCAAATAACAAGTTGGAAAGCATCTTTGGAATATTGACCGAAATGTAACAAATTTCAAGAAAAGAAAAATGAGTAAGTAGAAAGTACATAGGGGTGTGAAGATTTAGACTAAATAGATAAGCTAAAATAATACATAGATTTCCAATGACAGTAATCATGTAAATAAATAAAAACACACATAAAAATTACAACTTGGAGTTCCACAATTTCTGAAAGTCCAATGAGAATGAATTCTGTCACTGTTGTATAATTATGGTCCATGTCTAGTTATTTTCTGTCTGTAAATACAAATATTGACTGATTCAAATCTACAGTTTCAAACCAATCATCACAGTGTTCTTTTTTATTACAGTTTTGTTGTTCTAGAAGCCTGGTCTCCAAACTGCAGCCCAGGGACTGGATGTGTAGGTTTGCATGCCTTTATCTGGCCCTTGGGGCACTATTCCTCCCACTGACATTAACAATGGGACATAATGCATCCCACTGACACCAATTATAGGGCACTATTTCTCTCACTGACACCAATTATGGGTCACAATTACATCCCACTGACACCAATGATGGGACACTGTTCTTCCCGCTAACACCAAAGATGGGGCACAATTCCTCTCATGGACACGAGCGATGGGACACTATTCCTCTCACGCACACCAATGATGAGCCTTTATTCCTCTCATGGACACCATTGATGGGACATTATTCCTCTCAAGGACACCAGTGATATGGCATTATTCCTCTCATAGACACCAATGATGGAGCACTATTTGTCCCACTGACACCAACGATGGAGCATTGTTACGGACACCAAGACATTTTCTACTGCTACTGGCCACAGTCTGGCCCTGTGCAGCACAGTGGCTAAATGGTTAGCACTTCCATCTGGCTACTAGGGTCATTGGTTCAAATCCCCACCACGGCTCCACCTGCCTGGAGTTTGCATGTTCTCCCTGTGCCTGCGTGGGTTTCCTACCACATTTCAAAGACATGCTGGTAGGTTAAATGGATCCTGTCTAAATTGGCCCTAATATGTGTATGTATGAATGTAAGTTAGAGACCTTAGATTGTACACCCCTTGAGGGTTAGGGACTGATGTAAATGTAATATATATATATATATATATATATATATATATATATATATATACTGTATATATACATATATGTAAAGCACTGCGTAAATTGGCGGCACTATATAAGTACCTGAAATAAAGTCTGAAGGATAATAAACTGGCCCTCTTTTTGGAAAGTTTGGAGACCCCTGTTCTAGAGTAACCTAATTACAACACAATAAAAACAGGTGTTTTAAAATTGGTAGAATCTGCATTTACCAAAAGGATTTGCAAGATTTGTAAACGGTGCAATTCATTGATAAGCATTGCTTTTGTTTTTACAATATGCTATAAAGAATAGAAAAGTATTAAATATATCAACTTTCTACCATCCACATAGAAAAATATATTACCAAAGCATATACAAGGATTTAATTTCCAAGCATCAATAGTCTAGATACTTCAGAATAGTACAATTTGAAAAAAGTAAGTTCCAACCAAATACTTCTTGTGTGAGTAGGTCCTCTTAAACCATCACTCATCACAAAATTGTTCTTAACTCAAAAAACAGCACATGTGATGGATCAGATCTTTATCAGATTCCTACATCTCGTTTGGAGTCCAATGGCAAGGTTTATACACCCAAACTTCCTTTGGCCCATTTTAAGAGGTCAGCCAACTCTATAGGACTCTGTAGGTGAGATCTCTGCATTTGTCTGCATATATGCTGTGATGAGCAGTTTCCACTCTCCTTGTTTGATAGCTTATTTACTTTACATAACCGACAATAGAAACATAGAATGGCAGAAAAAGACCAAATGGTCCATCGAGTCTGCCCGTTTTGTTTTGTGGGCGGGGGGTTTGCTAGTTTTTTTTTTGTTTGGGGTTTTTTTTCTGTTTTATTTTTTTTTTTTTAACCTTTTTGTCTGAGTATAGATCTATGCTTGTCCCATGCATGTATGAAGCTATTTATTGTTGACTGGCTCACTACCTCTGCTGGAAGTTTATTCCAAGCATCAACTACTCTTTCAGTGTAGGACAATATAACAGGAGGAGCTGGAACATACATTACATTACATTAGTATGTTACATTACATTACTCAACTGATTACAAAAGGAATCATAGCAAGGAGATCTCAATAATGAAGTATCCAGAGCCAAGACATAGGAATCCAGGTGCTGATTTAGACTACCAGGCGCAGTATGTATATATAGTCTGTGTGTCTGAATATATATTTGTTTGTTTTTTTGGGTGGACACTTAGGCATATCCTAATCATCCTGTGCAGTGCAGATTCCCTGTGCTGCCCGGGGTGTGTGTTTTTCATTACTGAAGCACAGTAAACTGTGTTTACTATGCATCAGTTTGTAAAAGAACTGGAGCCTTCTGTTCATTAATTCAGTGCAGCTGGAGCTGCAGAGAAAGGGACTGGGGAATCTATGTCTTCGGTCCCTTTCTCTGTCTCAAAACTGTGACATCAGGAGATTCCTAAATAAGTTTAAAAAAAATATAAAAAAATGATATTGTAAAAAAAAAATAAAAAAAATTGTAATAAAATAATAAAAATAAAAAACTACTGACACTGTCCACTGCCCTATTGACACCAACCTTTGCCCTACTGATACGTTCACTGCTCTATTGACACCGTCCACTGCCCTACTGACACTGTCCAATGCCCTACTAAACACCATCCACTGCTCTTCTAACATCGCTCACCATCCACTGCCCTACTGAAACCATCCATGTTTTTATACATTTTAAAATGTTTGTTTATGTTTGTTTTTCAGAGTGTGTGTGTGCATGTGTGTGTACAGTATATACATACTGTATATACACACACACATGCATGTGTGTTTGAGCTTTGGGGTGCACACCCTAATGCCATAGGATGCACCTTTGGGTAGACAGACCCTTTAAGGAACCTATTGAGTGCTTAAACCATAAAAATAGTCTATTGTGTTTTGTATAAAGTGTTTTAGTTGTTTTACTTGTTATTTTGCAGATTAGTTATCCCCAGAGGCACATGTACTAGCTTTTAGTACATATTTTTGCATCTGAGCTTTAATAGATGCACATCTAGGGATTTTTGAGCCCAAGAATTTTAACAATAACTTTGGTATTAATAAACATTTTGAGAAAGGACTCCTATTTTTTATGAGGCTGAGATGATTTGTGCAATTACTAAAGAAGAGCAATAAAACTGTATGGACTATCTACATGGCCCCAGAGACTGGCGCTATCAGTGTGTATGTATTGACCAATAATGTGCTGAACTAAACTATTTGCTGAGTTTTGTGAGACATGCGGCACACTGGGACTATAATAGTTTGTGTATGAATGTTTCATCTTTGTAGCTTGAGTTGTCTATGTGTCTACCAATATGATCTATATGGGATGTATGTACTTACTGTGTCACGTTGAGATTTTGATGTTTTTCAAGTTTTGACCAGTTAAGCATCAAAGCATTTTCCAATTTCAGCTATTTTAGACTATTTATTTGGCAATAATGTTGATACCAAAGTGAGGCATGTATTGCTTTATGGGACAATTCTTTTGGTGGAATTGTATTCCAGGAGTTGTTTAATTTTCTATAATTGAAAGAATTTAAAAAAGTAAAAAACTAGAAAAAAAATGTTATTTTTCCAAGTTTGATCATCTATTTAATGCAACTGTAAATATAAAGTGCTAATTTTATTCCGCAAGTTTTTCCTGAATGTCCATAACACCACATTATGTTGTACTGTATGTTTCTGTTAAAAGTTTGTTCCAAGTTATTTACATATTATTTAAATTTTGTTTTTTTTTAACCATAAATGCTCATGCATATGGCTGATCAAGGCTGTACACCACCCAGGTCAATGTATTTTTGTGGCGGGTATGTCCAGGTGTTTCCAATCAGCCAAAGACAGAAAGCCTGTATAAATCAATGACAGACCGTCCCTATCATCAGCTGATGGCATGAAATTGCACATGGAGCAAATACCACTTGTTAAGGACAGATGTGCACCCTTGGACAAAGGCAGACCACATCCAGGGTCGCTCATCTGACCCTACCCAAGGTAATCACTCCATGTGAAATTACATGCATAGATTAGATATGGTAGTTGCATTAGTTTCCTTTTCTCAGGCTAAGTACATTTCCTAAAATAATAAACAAATGTTAGTGCTGAACAATGGTGGAATCTACAATCCTTTATCTACCAAAGTTCTAATTATTGGTGCAGTCCCTTTTTTTTTACCTAATGTAGTAGAAAAAAAAAAAATGCACTCTCTCCAGACAATGGAATTCTCAGAAAAACTGTAAATGAAACAGAGATGTCACTGACATAGTGTAAGATCCTGAAACAATCTTACATGGTTAAAATAAGTATATTGTACATAATTTTTCATCAACCAACAAATGCACTCATGGACAGATTTGTTTGTTGATGAGAAGCTCCTTGTGGGAATTTTTTGAGATTCATGTCTTTATATCACTATTGTGTGTACAATAAACTGTATTTATATTAACCAGTTAAAGATATTTTGAGGCCTTTATGCTATGCCACTGTGCGATCTCAGTGTCAATTACATTTTTTAAGTATATTTTCTATGGCAAGATCAATTAAATACCATGATATTGACCATAATCCAGTGTCTATGTAACGTCTTGTGTGCTGAACTGGTATCTCAAACAATATTATCAGCTATCTTTTGTGAACCACAGAATACCTCCATCTTTCCTATTTAACGGAGATGGGGAATTGTATAGGTGTTTGTAGTCCAACTCAGGAGAGCAGCATTGCCGCTCCTCCAGAAGATCCAGTACAGTAAGAGAGCATTGTCACCCTGGGACAATAAGTGTTTTAATAGGAGGATTACCAGGTGAAAAATAGGAAAATTAATGTAGCGACCACATCTGAAAACGGGTAAACTTCAGTACATTACAGTTTTGTAATTTTGTTCTTAAGTCGGCCATAGACGGTTCGAATCTTGACTGGTTCAGCAGGAACCAGCCGAAATTCTAACCACGTATGGGCAGACTGAATGTACCCAAGTTGATCGATTGATCAACTTGGGTACAACCAGCATGATGGATTTTACATGTGATTATTGTTAGCAATTGTTATA